TGCCTAAAGTTATTTCACCTGACCCTTCTAACAACTGTAATTTCAGTGCAACTATTCTAATGAAATTGTTAGATATATTTAGGACTATGTCCAAAATTTCAGATTTAGATGCCACCCACTTCGCTGCGTTTTTGCATTTCTTTCAAACTCTTGATACGACATTTTTCACATGCATTTTGAATTCTCACGAAAACATTTTCAATCAATTGTCTCAAGTTACAAAGACAACAGTACCCATTTGGTATGAGCAAGAGAGAACTTAATACCTTCAGATCGCGTACTAATCAATTTGTTTCATTAATTTCAACCGATTACTTTTGAGCATTGAAGATGTGACCCATTCAGATGGTTCTTCGATTGATGTAACCCGAAAAAATTTTAATGCTGTTCCAGTGATAATTAAAGCTGATTCTCATTGAGCATGCGAATGAATAGAGGGCATCTTCAGCATTATTTTCTCAGCAGTTATTTCAATTATACTTGTCTGATTAAAGTTCTACAAAGTTTCGTGCTCGATGAATGCATTGTTAATTTATTGATTATTAAGAGTAGTTTCATATTCGATCGGGTCATCATTGAATGAGTAGATTTGGGAGGGACCCACTTTCACTTTGTGTGCTACATTAGCATTAGTGATAGATCATAGTTCTATCATGATGATAAAAACACAATAGAGTACTCGAAAGTTAGATCATTATAAATTATTTCATGAACACTCAAATCTCATCGAAACAAGATGTTAGATAAATGAAATGTGCCAATTGTTTTCACGAAATTTTGTTTTACCGAGTCCATGCCATTATGATGTGATAAACGAAAGTTAATCTGCCAATATTTGCTGAGTGCAAGTTTTCAAACTATGTCATCAGAGAAATAAAACTCCGGACTTTAAGGTGTGAGTTTTCATCGTGAAAATTCAAGATCGCGAAAAGTCTAGAATATCAACGAATTTTTGACAGAATATCATATGAAATCGTATCTAAATCTAACATATTCACCAAATCTGAACTTATACATTGCTTCTTTCTGCTTTCAAAATTCAAATATCAATTATACGGAATGGCAAGACAATATCCAAAAGGGCTTCCATGATCTGGTTTATTCGAATACAAAAGACATTGTTCATGAGGGACAATACTTTGAAAAATAACACTAAAGCCAACTGTAGAATAGTTGTCTAGAGAGAACGGTACCACATATTCACGAAATTGGCGATATTGGAGGATGTGATTGTGTTCATGTTTCATCTCTTGTCACGGTTGGAGAGATATGCTTAGAGATACGGCATAGCTTCAAGAGATGTGCGTATGTTGTGCATGTACCGATAATAATCGATTCGTCTGTTAATAGGTAGTTTGGTAATTCTCATTTCCTGGATATATCACACAGCTGTATAGTTTATAGTTGTTTCACCAGTAATCCATAAAGGATAAATCGATCTCGGTTATCTGCCTGGCTTCATTATAATAATATGAATTTATTCATTAGAAATACTCAAAACTCAAGATGTGAAGAAATTTGTATATGAATCAATCATTCATTATGGTTCCTTAGCTGCAACGTGCACGACTGATCAATATAAATTAATTATTATAGATCTAACTCGAAAACTATATCCAAGTTCAAGTTAACACATATATTACCGTAGATACTTAGAAAAACTTGTTTTGAGGTAAGATTTCCTCGAAAGATAATAATTAACTTTAATTTCGTTTAGTATCTTCTATTATTAGAATGAAGTGTCTCTTTTGTATTTATTTTCGCATGATACATGTGTCATTCAAATAGGGGCTAGTTAATGTTCATCATCAAAAATGAAATATACACAAAGTATTCAGTGATGACAAGAAATTTCAGATGTTTATTTTTTTGTAAAACAGCAGCGTTTTATGGAAGAAGTATTTTAATTCTTTACCCGTCATTTGCAACTGAAATTATCATTTTTAGAAACGTGACAGAAAATAAAGAAAGCGTCGGATTCAAAAACTATACGAAAGTTATTATAGTAAACTTTATGGGCTATCTATTGGTAAAAAGAATATTACTTTTCATTGTTCTGCCGTACAAAATTTTTGAAACGCAATTTTCTCTACTCATAGTCAACAGAGATCTTTTGAAATTTTTGTGTTGGATTAATCGATGAAAATATCCACTAGTGAATTAAATATGTTTCAAAAGTTTCCTGATAACTCCCCAAATCACATATGCAAAGGTACACAATCGACCATGTAGTCACTATTGGGCAGATGTAGGGTAATTAAAAGTAAAGTTACTATATGTATTATATAAACGTCAACTCATGAGAAGTTGAAATCGAATTTATTATGAATTAAATGTCTTCAGAGGTATATAGAATGGTTCAGAGAAAAGTAGACTTAACTTTGACATGATGTGTAAAAAAAACGCATATATTCTTTGGTACTAATTTTTATCTGCTCACTCTTTCCGTTTCTTCATTATTTCAATAGCACGGTATAGGTTTTGCTTCTGTCCGCTCAATAAAATAGTCCAAGAAAAAAAATCAAGTCTTATGATATCGTTCAATCCTCTTTCTCCAACATATGATCCCTGGATCAATTAAACTACCCTACTCTAGGGGCAGCATACTCGGTGGATCAGACCATACTGTTGATATATAAGTGAGACTAATACTCTATTTATTAAGTTATTTTGTTAGCGGCTCGTTCGGAACTGCTATGGGGTAAAGGGTTAAATAACATCTGACATACTCCAAGTCTGGTGATAAAGAGTTACATTTATCAATAATTTGTTCTAATAGAGATGGTATTTTCATTTTAATAATTGAATAGATGAATTTCAAAGATATTTACTTGAGCAAACATTCGATAATTCGTTATTTCTTACTTGATCTCTTCGTGTTAAATACGAAGCAACATCTACTACAACAATTATTCGATGAGTAAGACCATTTCATTAGATCAATACGACATTTTTAAACTTATATCAAGAAACGTCATAATACTGAAATGAATAATTAATGTTATTAAGTAATCGTTGATTTAGCTAGTCGAGTATTAAGCGAACAAGATTGATCTCATACTATTGACATCTGTGTAAGTAAAATTTGATATGCAAATATAATTTCTCTAGCATATTTTCAATTGTATAAAAAAGTTAAGATAATAAACAATGTATTATCCATTGACAAAGTACAGCATTACTTTGTCATGGTCTTATTAGTGTTTCAAGTGACCTGCATCTATCTATCTTGGTGATTATCTAATGAAAAACAACCATCTTCCAGAAATCAAGTATTTATTATAAACTTTATTGGATAATTTCTATTGATTTTTATAGACGAATAATCAAACTTGATGCTGATTCAGGTCTACTTGGTTTAGCTTTACTAAAATATTGAGATACAATACAATTGTATTACATACATTAACTGATAATTTTCATATAATTTTGAACTCATTACAACAATATGTTTTTATCAACTTTTTAGAAGATCAAGTCACTGCATTTGAATAAGAATAATATAAATTATTTACTATTATTTATTTAGCTTAGAAGCAAGTGAAAAGTGAAGAAATAAACTGGAGTTAATATTCAATGGAAAAGAATAATGGAGATTGTTTTTTATGTAATTTTAGCGACAGGTAACTGAACTTATCATTATATCGTACATGATCGATATTTTCTCGATACTCAGACATTTTTATTACCCGTCAACAATTAAAAATCTCGTAATAGAGACTAGATGACATTCGAATTCCACTCGTCTGGAAAATGTTATACGAAGCTTCGAATGTTGATTATCAAGAAAATCTATAATTTGTAAATAATCACTAATTATGTCTATTAATGAGCACGAAACATGACTTTCTGCTGACTATTAGAGGCCGAATAGATCCGGTTTTCTTTCTTTTCCAACGTCTAGAGAAAAGTTACTTTTTGATTAGCTGATTGAAATTGAAAATTAGACTTGATAATATTTATTACCACGAGAATCGATTAATCGTTTAATTATTCATGTGATGCATTATGTACTATCAGCTGAGATAAGAATTTGAAATAACGACAGCTAAATTTTCACACTGTTTCCATTTTAACCATCTCGAGGCGAAAAAGAATGAGTGTCCTAACCTCAAAAATAGTGTTTTGATAGAACTCACTGTATTCAAACAAAAACCTTTATTATCAATCTCTGATAGGAATCTTATCATTTTCAGATTTCACGGCTTCTATCAGAGTTCGAAATAAGTCTCAGAAGTTCTCAGTTCCGGATGATTCACATTAATGCTATATTTCTTAATGCATTAATCAAATTGATGGGCTCGAGTTACATTTACAGAAAGGAATCAAAATCAAGCTCAACTTTATAATGATAATGCCTGGCATTGTCATAATAATAATACTATTAAATTAAAAAATAGTTGTGGCAATCTAACGATAGTAACATTCGTCACGTATCATGATAAAGCAAATTGTGTTCGTGAAGACGGATTAGATTCAATAACACAAGTGATTGATTCATTTCTGGAATTTTGTGTATTTTTAAGAGAATAAAAAAGTAAAATTGCAACACTTCGTTTAACAACTAACTCATAGTTTTTTTGTCACCGAATTTTCTAAGAATCATAACACTGTTAGTCCGTATCAATACAGCAAACTTTCATAATACAGGACGCTTTCGAATTATCACTGCCGTTTAGTTTTTAGTATTATAGGTAATGACAAAAGCTTAAAAGTATACACTTAAAAGCCAATCATTCTATCAATATAAAGAATATGTCCAAGCTTACCATTTTATCCCATTAGACAATAAATTGAAAGAAAACATATTATGAAAAAGTAGTGTGGCAATATTTGAAAGTCATTTTTTGCGCTTCACTATTCTTCAAAGAAAGCCTCAACATATTTTCAAAACCTCTTATAAGTCTACTATTTAACAGAAAACTTTGACATGCTTTAACAACATATGTTAATTCATTTGAACAATTGGCGCTTTTTAAAAGCAAAAAAAAAGACGTTCAATGCGTAAATTATCTCTTCATCGAGTGTATGGTTGTTCAACTGCTCATCGTAATAGCATTATTGGTTTACCAGATAATCGTGTTGCTTGTCTAGCTGGTTCATATTTAGTTATACTTGATTGTTTAACGAATGAACAACGTTATTTATCTTTTTCTGCAATTGAGTTTCTTTATATATCATCAAGCGGTTTATTAATGGGTGTAATAGACCGTTTTACACACAATGGAGATACACGTATACATATATACTCAACAAAACCAATTGATTTATTATGTGTTATCGAACCAGATCGATTTGGAAGTTTTATTGGAATAACAATCAATAAGAATGATAATTTACTTATGATTTTACATAACGAACCAGCTTATATGATTACAATTCGTAAAAATAAACAATAAATAAATAACTGAACTCTTTTGTTTTATTTACTTTTTTTAGAAGAAATGCAAATTGAATTCGATGAACAACATAGATTCGATATGACTGATTTGGCTTCCGTACGTGTTGTTCACGGATCTGTTTTTAATCGAATGATAAAAAAAGAAATTACACCTCATGTAGCATTTGTTAGTTTTTGTCCATATTCATTAAATCTTTTTTGTGCAACTGGTTCAGCATTATTTAAACTTTATGAAATTGATAATCAAAATGTTAATCAACAAACTGTTCATTTTCGAGCAGAATTTTATATATTTACATGTCATTGTTGGCTTGATGTTAATAGTATTTTAGTATGACATTTAACTTGTCAATAAAGTTTTCCTTTTTCTTTTTCTTTTTCTAAGACAGCTACTGATCATGGACATATATTTTGGATTCAAGATGGTTCTATTCGTTCAGATATTAGTCTTGAAGAATCGATCACTGTTGATTTGCATTTCTTAAAAAAGAATATATCCAATGAAAATTCCAGTCGACAATCGATGAGATTAACTTCCTCATCTAAAACAAATGCATCAGGAGATGGCAAGATTCTATTCAATTTTTTTAAAATTCATATCAGCGATATTCTTTCTAGATCCAATAGAAATGTTGAAAGATGATTTATTTACTGGTACTAGTAATACTAATATAAATAGTTTATCAATGATTAATGAAAAACCATCAAAAATTCATTTGGATAGCCCATCAAAAAGTAATCAAATATCAGAAGATATTGTTTTATACCTTGATATTTGTGCATCGAAAGAAATATTACCATATTTTATAGTTTCATTTCGAGAATACATACTTGTGGTAAGTATGAAAAATATTATAAGATAATTTTTCCACAAAAACTCTTTCGATTAGATACATCTTTTTTTGTAACATCTAGTTTACTCCAATCACTGTTGAGCCATTCTTTCAAATAATAGCACGTTATTGTCTTCAAAAAATAAAAGAACATCAAATTGATTTTGAAACACATAATATTCATAAAATGTCATATATATTCGATAATAATTTCTCATTCATTTATCTTCTAACTGATCGTAATCAAATATTTCGTTATAAAATTAATCAATCAAATAATAATATTGAATTGGATGAAAAACATATTTATGGTTTCCAGGCATATAAAATTTTATCTATTGGTTTATGTGCTCATAAATCTTGGTTAATTACTCTCGGTGGTGATAATTCAATAAAAATATTTGATTATAAAGATAACAATCGAGAAATTATATCAAAATATATTCCTGATAATGCATGTATAGCTACAGGTAGAAAAAACATTTTCTTATTAAAATTTGTTTTCAATTTTTTTCAAAATTAAGGATCTGATCCATACGGTTTTCATATATGTCTAGCCATGAATAATTGTTTTCAATTATATTTAATAACACACTATGAATTACGTATGATACATCAATATGAAACACGTAGTATACGAGATCTTGAAATGAGTCAATCAGGACATTTAATAGCTGTTATAACAAATAATATAATAAAGATTTATTCAACAATTCATTTTAATTTAATAAGTCAATTACGTGGTCATGTTGGAAAAATAAAACAAGTTCATTGGTGTAGAAACGATTCAATTCTTATTAGCTGTGGAACAGATGGAATGATTTACATATTTAATATTTTTACTGGTAAGAGTTTGATAATAAACCAAAAATAATTTTGTTTTTTGTCAATGTCAATTTTAAAGGTATGAGAGAAGGTGAAATAATAACAAAACAATATCGTTATATGGGTATTGCTGTAACAAATGATTGCAATCGTATATATGCCATAACATCTAATTCAAGTATTAAAATATTTAATAACACAAATCTTGAACAAGAATGGCCAATTGAAAATGGTTTTATTCCATCAGCTATTTGTTTATCGAAATCTGAACGTTTACTTTATGTTGGTATGACACATGGAATGATTCGTGTATATACAAGTCCATTGAAAATTGATACTTATATTGATATACCAGCACATTATTCAAGCATACGTCGTTTATTAGTATCATATGATGATGAATATTTAGTATCGATAGCTGAATCTGCTTATATACTTCTATTTAAACAGACAATAAATAATTTAAATTCTGTTTCAAGTCAATATCAATTTTCACAATTATCTATAGAAAATGTCGACATTGTTAATGAACAAGAAAGAACACAGACAATATTTGAATATATTTTAGTTACAAAATCAGAATTTGATGAAAGAAAAATAAAAATAAAAGAAATTCAAACACGAATTAAGTGAGTTGTATTCAACGAGAAAATCACAAATTTTATAAGTCATTAAATCTACTCTTTCTTATTTGACATGTCTCATGAGGGAATGTTTTCAACTGACCAATCGCTTTTTCATGGAAAGTTAATAATTTATAGGTTATTGACCATGCTGATTTTTAGAGAAAATCGGTTGTTCAAGCTCATAAATATTTCACCAAGATCACATGTGATGTACTCAGATTATAGAGTATATTGAATTGTCTCTAAGTCAGTAATCTTTTCTATTTTCCAAGTATGAGTTTTCAGTAAAATAGTATTATCTTGAAGATTTTCACAATGAAACTTTGATATGTCTGTGTTGTATAAATTAATATGATTAATTGAACTATTATGAACGAATTCAAATATAATTTAGATCGACCCATTTATCTCTGATTTTTATTTTTCAATTGTACTGCTTCATGAACCTATTCTGCTTCATGAACCTATTCTTCTTCATATAGTATTTTTCTGCTAAGTTTCTAATTTTTTTTTAGTGAATTTGAAGCAGAAAATAATTTAAAATTAAGTTCAAAACAATTAGCATTTTCTAAACATTTAAATAATTATTCAAATAAATTTCAAACAATGATGAAACAACTTATCCATACATATGAACAATTAAAAAATGAAATTGCAAATGATAATTGTAATTATTTCAATCAAACAAATGAAATAGAAGAAAAATATAAAATACTTCAAAATCATACTGAAGTTATCTATGAAAATAAAATGATAGAAACGGTTTTGATTCTTTTTTTCTTAATCATTCAAATTATTCGTTTTTGTTTTATTTTGTTTTTTGTTCTTTAGCTTACATGTATTCAAAATACCCAATCTCAGTTAGAAAAACTTAAAACAGAATATAAAAATAAAATAATTGATTTCAATAATAAAGAACATATTAATTTAACTGAAATAGTTAACAAAATAAATGTGACCATTCAATCAAAATGGCGTTCAGCTATTCATAATTATGAAACAATTCAAGAAAAAGAACGTCAAATAAATGAATATATAAGACAAACGGAAATAGATATTGATGATGAAATTGAAAATGTTAAAACTAATTATGAAAAAGAATTACAATTTTTAAGTGAATATGCAAAACGACTTACTTTGACTGTATGCTATTGAAACTTTTAGGGAATGCTGACAAAAGATATACAGTATTATGAAATGTTCTAGTAGTTATTTTGAATTTAAATACGACCTAAACACAAATCATCAAAGTAGTTTGACGTGATAGTATGTTATCTAAGGAAAGATCTTCTAAATACAAAAATTTGATTCTCAAGGTGTTTAATTATTTGAAAATGAGCTATTTTTATTTGTTATATATTTTTATCTCTTTTTTTGTCTTGTTTCTTCATGTCTTTTCAAGACCAAAATGAATTAAGTTTCTTCGCTTTTCATTCGACTATTATTGAATCAACAGAGAAAAAAAAACAGTTCTCATTTAATTGTGTTATTTTTTATTTGATCGAAGTAAAATTGATCTATTCATAACAGAGACTGAACCGTAACGAGTTTCACGTAATTTACTGTGTTTTAAATCGAAAAATTCCTCACCCGCTTTGTTTTTTTCTTCATGAAATGGTATCACAGCTGTACTTTACTTCACATGCTGAAGTTGTTTAACTACAAACACTAGATACAAACAAAATGAATGAGCTTTCATCAAGAACAGGTCTCTAATCTAGTGAAAATTAAATACTAATTATTGCAAAACTAAAAATGAATATTGACCCTTTTATTTTGTTTCAGGTGAGCACTCTTCGTAAACGTTACAATGCTATAATCGATCGATTAGAATCTCGTGATATCAAACGAAATGATATTGAAAAAGAAGTTAAAGAATTATACAATCGTCAATCAGAACTAATTGAAAAACTTGATCGGTTTCGTTTAAGTATGCAAAAACAAAAAAGAGTTTTCTAATTTTTTGCAAATAATTATCGTTTAGTTATTAAAAAGAAAGAAGATCGTATTGGTGCACATGATATAAAATTACATCGTTTACAACAACATATATTACATGTTGAAAAACGTAAATATGTTCTTGATTATAAAACAAAATCTTTATTAGAACGCATTGAACCAATCGATCAGGAAATTATAAGATTAAAAACAAATAATCAAAATATTGAACAACAATTAACAATTCTTAAACGACAGCAAAATGATTTAATTTTACGTGAAAATGATTATGAAACTAAATTGAATGAATCATCGAAACAATTAAATCTAGCAAAAATAAATCATCAATATATATGGAAAATAGTTCAGCAACAAAAAGGTTTGATAAAAATTTGTAAAGAAAACTTCGTAGCATGATTTCTTAATTTAGAAATAATTAAAAAAGCATTCGAATATATTGAAATAAATTGTACATTCGATATAACAAATCCAAATAATAATCCAAGAGAACAATTTAAAAAATTTATTCAGGCTATGTGTAACACAATACAAAATGAACAACAAACTGAAAATCAATTAGAAATACAAGGATTTATGAAAGAATGGAATAATCAACGTAAATGGCTACTTAATCAAGTATAAAAAAATTTCATCATCTTAAGTTTTTTCGAGATTAAATAAAGTGATTCAATGAATATATAATGTTTAGAAAATTTTTAGCTGCTACTAGGCATAATCGCATTTTATATTTAGAACGAAAAGAAAATTCAGCAGTCTCCTCACTTTTTAAAAAATTGAATATGTACATTTTCAACCTTTTGTTCATACAAATTTTATTGGTTATATTCTAATTTAAAGAACAAAATCTTAATTTTGATTAAAATACATCTGAATTAAATTAATTATAATAAACAATCAAGACCAAATAGAATATTCAGATATGTGAATTGTGGCTGTACAAATCATGATAGACATTGTTACATCAAATCATAAGTCATATTATGAGATTATTTCGAAGGATGAGTGTTCAGTTTATAGTGAAAAAAATGATTTCTTCCTTTCATCTACTCTTCAAGTATCCATCATAGTATATAAGTAAGAGAAAGAATTAAGATACTAGCCTTAGGCCACTTTTTTTCAATTCCATTAAACATTTTACAAGTGAACCTTTCTCACATTCACAAGGATTTCACTAAGAATATAGTCAAAACTATTTACATATCTATGATAGAAAACTGACTGAAATTATTTTATTTTCAAGAGAATTATGTACGCACACACTTCTTTATTTGCTACCGTCTTCAATCACCCTCAAGTAATAAAATTTTATCGTTAACCTTCAACAGATTTTGTTACAAGTAGCTATATATCAATATTCGACCTTCAAACTGTGTATTCTTGTTTTGTACTGCTGATGACTCGTTTTATTCATCAAGCACTATCTACTTAATTTGACAAAGACAATTTTTCAAGAATATTCTGATCCGTCTTTCTCAGTTTTCGATATTTTACGAAAGACTTCGATAGTTAAATTCTAAATTTCTTTTGCTCATAAAAGACTATTTCACTTCTTTGTATAGTTGAATAATCTAACCAAATATACTGAAGAAAATAAACAATCGTTTGCTAATATTCAACGTGAACATCGTAAAGGTAAAGATAAAATTGTCATTTCTCTATTATTTATTTATTTATTATTCAGCTATTGCACCATTTATACATCAACTTCGAGAATTACATAATCTATTTGATGATATTCAAAAAAAAATTCAAAAACGTTTATTAACATTAAAAATTAAAACAAATGAACAAACAGAATTTTTACAAAATATATCAGATATATTACATGGAAATAAAAAAGTTCATTTAAAAATACATAAAATATGTCAAAATGAAATATTGATTGAAACTCAAGACAAAGAAATGGATCGTTTAAATTCGATTATATTTCGTTATCAATATTCTACATCATGTTTAGAATCTAGTCAAAAAAAATTAATTCATAATAATGAAAATAATACAACAAGGTCAACAATTCCATTATCATCTATAAGATCATCGACTAAATAAAATTTTTTAATCGACTAAAGAATAAACAAAAATATTATTCTATATAATATATCGATTGTTTTTAAATATATTGAAGTGTTTTGTTGAAAAAGAAATAACTTGATCAATAAATGCATTGTTATTCTGTTGAATATGTCTGGATAAAAAGTGCACGTCGTGGAAGAACTATTATTATTATTTTTATTAAACATGAATGAAGATAAAATTATTCTGAACTAAAGAAGGTGAAAATTGATTAACTTTTTTTCAATATTCTATTCTAATATGTCTGTCTGTCTATTTTATTATCGACGAACAAAGTAAAAGAAAAAGATAGGGCCTTCAGTCTACTTAAGATTACAATCCATAAGCGATCATCGAATGACGACAGGTGATCGTCATACTAAAAGAACGAAAAGCGCGTTTGCGCGTGAGTGCTATTCAATCTTCTCTTTCTCTCTTCTTTCAATACAGTATATAGCAGTTGCAACGTTTGCATGCCATTCTTTCAACAATAAATATACTACCTTATTTTCGTTCTTACGCACAACACGCACACACAATTACAACAAGTAGTAATAGTAGTGCCAATACATATTCTTCATTTTGTTCTTCTTGTTCTCATATATTTAAGTCCAAAGAGAAAAAAAAACACAAAAAAAATCAAAAGCGAAAGAAATTGGCACGTAGAACATTTGACCTCTGTTCTTTTTCATATACATACAGACGATGATGCGAAGATGAAGATCATGATCGTAAGTATCGTTAATAAACCCTTTTTGGTACTTGCTTGATTTTTTTAAAATACTGTCAAGAGTCTTAATATGAAATATGTAGAGACAAATGCTTGTATATGTTCTAATGTCATACTTAAATTCCGTTTATACATATATATATATATATATATATATATGAACACATTAAATATTTTACGTTTAATTTACTGAAGAAGAAAGGGAGACAGAAAGAGAGAGAAAAGTAATAACTAATATTGATTGAGAAACAAAAACACTTGAGTAATAAAGCAAGGTAAGATTTTTCTTTTCAGTTTAAGACAAGTAAACAAAAAAAAGAGATTGAGAGATGATGAAATGAAGAGAGACGTCAGGCTTAATTGTACTTCTAGTTCATAAATGAGCAAAATGAAAGACAAGTATGTATTTGTTGATTCAAATTAGCAGTACAAAGTTGACTGCATAATGTTATTGTAATTGACAGTGAAGGTAAGCAAAAAATGAAAAGTATAAAATTTATGCACATATTCAAACTGTTTATTGGACATAGTTTTAAAAAAAATATGGTCTTCTTTCTTAAGATAAAAGAAAACATAGGAACGAAAATTTATCGTCAAAAAGAAATGAGAAAATAAAAAAATGTTTTTTCTCTAAAAACCAAAATAATTAAGTTAGAATTGGCAATAAAAAGAACACGAAACAAAAAATAAAGCCAATGGATAATTTTTATTGATAGAGAAAGGTTTCAGAATTGATTGCCATTACCAAGTTGTATTGTTCATATTGAGTGTAAGTCATGTTCATATGTAAATATGTTTGTGTTTATATATCTTTGATGGTCATATGCATGAGTCTTCATATGATGAGAATACATGGAAATAGAGTAACGAGAAAAATGTAAAAAAGAAAGAGAGAAAAAGATCTATGCATGTTCTTGTTCGTCCTTCAGTTTTTGTTTTATATTTATTAACTCTTATCTATTTTATTTATATCTCTAGTAGGTTAGGTTTGTTGCTGTCAAGCTCGTTACAACCAACATCATTGATAGTAATATCTGATAATAGGAATTTAGTGATGACAACTACAGCAAATCTTTCATCGAATTCATTTAGTTATGCATCATCAAAAACATCAGCACAACAAACAACATGTAACATATGCAAGCGTCTTCTGTATTCATTTGAAGAAATCCTTGTTTGTTAGTATTTCTTTACAAATATTCTTTCATATATTTAATATTTAATAATATAGGTCGTATTTGTCATGGTTCGTATCATTGGCGTTGTGTAAAACCTGAAACGATTTCTCACTATGGTGAAAATGAAAATTATATTTGTGATAAATGTAATGACGTTACAACGACTAATCTATCGCCTCGAACCACCAATGGTGGTATTAAAATTAAATCAACTGATTCTGTTATTACAGATTATCGAGATTTTGCTAGTATACCATCAAAAATCAATTCAACAGAAACAAATGTTCTTAATACTATTCGATATTTTGAAGAAAAACAACAACAAGCTCAGATATATAAACCAACGAAAGCATCTGAACTCGATAGTTATCTGCCATTACAAATTAATGAAAGAGACTATCATCAGCGTAATGGTAAGATTTAAAATGTATAATAAAATTAAGAACAAAAAAGATATATTTTCACTTTCAACATACATTTCTTTTTGTTTGTCTGTTGTTAATTGCTGACGTTGGTTTGAAACATTCTTATGCAAGAGATTATAAAAGAAATGCATGCACTACAAAGACAGAATAAAATCAAAAATAGTGTAATATAACCAATTACTATGTAGTAAATATTTTTTTAAAAGGAAATTCGTCTTTCTTCCGTGTCTGTTATTCAAAATTTGTACTTGAATATAATCAAGGATAGCCCGAAATCAGCCAACATTCGCAGTGGAGGGGGAAGTATCGCAATTATCTTTTTGCAAGGGAAGAACATCTTTCTCCTAACAGAACGCGAAAAGAGAATTTCAAGTCCGCTGTGAAAAAATTAAAATTTTCCATGATTGAGGGGGTGTTACAATCTCGCACCCTCGTTGGGTCTCCATTGCATATGATTCTATCCATAAGCAATATAATTTAAATCAATAATAGAAAGAATTGAAGTTCATGCATGTATGTACAGAGTTATCATCATCTTATGCGTAATGACAAACACGAGTGTAATCGATACATATGAACAAATATAAATCCTTTTTAAATGTTCTCGTTTCTTTTCTTGTCCTCGTCTTCATTCACGCCATATATATATACACATACTCTTTATCAATCTCATGCTTCTGTTACAATGTCTCATTTTTTCTTATCTGTTAATATTTGTCTTTTTTGTTTGCATAGGTCAATATAACGATGGCAGTCGAACAACTCGGCGAATTCAACAACAAAAGCAAAACGAAATAGAAAGTGACAACGAAAACGATACATCAGCAATGTTTCAAGCTAATTATCAATACACTCCTCTTAAAGAATATGCTGCAATGAGAAGTAGTCAAACAACAAATGATAAAAAAACAAATGGTTATCAAAGTAAATAAACACTATTTCGTCCTTTTTTGTAGACGATTTAAAAGCATACATACACACAAATTAAAAATTTTTGTTACGTATAAATATTTTAGAAAATGCCATTGAATGGCAAAAAAAGTTTTTTAAACTTGAAAAAGATTCAGATATTATTCTTTTTACTCTATTTGCGTGTGAGTATTCTTCTTCTAAGGGAATTTTATGATCTCAGGGAGCTCTATTCTATATGATAAATTAAAAATGCATTATAAGGGAATCTTTTTTTTCTTTTTTTTACTTAAATCGATACTATTGCTAACATTAAACATACGGAATAACAGGGATCAAATGATAAGAATTATTTATTTTTCTTCTTAATCGAAATATTACGATTTCTAACTATTTAAGGTTTAGCTATCAGTTTTTAACTAAAGAAATGATAATATATATAAGAGTACTTAACATACATAGATTTAACAATTAAAATGTTGTATTCGATATCATTTTAATACAAGCTGATTAAGTACAAAAAACAAACATACACACATTCAATGTCCTAGAATATAAGTTGTCTTTCAAAGCGATTCAATGAAATCTTATATTGAATATCGTATTTAAAAATTCAAATAATACTTTGCTTTTGATAAGATTAAAATTTTTATGTAACAAGAAGTATCATATTTAAATTTCAATCTTAATTAAATATCACCAATGAACATTTATATGCATGTATTTAATCTAATTCAAACATTGTTTTTTTCCTCAATTATTCAGATTCTCCTCCAGGCAGTGACATTCGTCAAACAACATCTCGTTATGGTGGTGGTTTACGTTATTCAAATCATGGCTATGATCCAACAGTTGCACGTCTTGTTGAAGCTCCTTTAAGTGATTCGACACATTTTACAAGTCCAACAGTTGATAATTTATCAGTTCATAATCGTCAACAACATTTTGTTAGTACAACTAATTTGAATATTAGTGAAAAAGAGTTTCGTCGTCAACAGCAACAAGAACAACAACAGCAACAAAGCTCTCTTATAAATTCACCTCCATATACATCTCTAATTCGTGATGATGATTCATCAGTATTTAAATCTTCAACTCAAGAACAACATCAACAACAACAGCAACATGATCGTCATTCAACAGTTGGTAGTGATTCAGGTATTGTTATGGTTCATTCAAATTCTCAACCGCAACAGCAATCGGATGAAAATCAGTTGGTTGAAAGAAAATTAACGACTTTAGTACAACAATTAGGAAAACAATTAGAAAATGATGCACAAAAAATCAATGAAAAATTAGAATCAAAATTAAAAAAATTAGAAGATATGATTAATCAACAAACATATATTATTCGGCAACAAGATGAAGTTATTGAACGTTTAAAAAGTAAAATACTGAAAATTGAAACAGAACGTGATCATTTTCGTGATCGTTTAATTGTACATGAACAACGTGAACAAGATGAAAAGAAAAATTTAACAAATGAAACACACAGATTATATGATCAACATGATAATAGTGAACAAGATAAGCAATCAGACAGAAAATATTCAGATGCATCAACAACTATTACAGACAATACCAAATCATCAACGAAAAAGGTTGAGACAAATAATATTTTCGTTTTCTTTTTTCATTTTAAAGAGAAAAAATGAAATTTACTTAATTTCTAAACATTTCCTAAGAATAGACTTTCTTTAGAAGTTTTGATTACTGTAAAAGGAAGATCTGAAATTATGCTGTAAGTAGGATGCCAAGCTTTTCAAGAGAATTAGTCATACATAAGTTAGCACCGTTATAGGAAAAAAAGTAATTCAATGGCTTTGTGAGTTATGATTTCGTCTTATTTATCGATTTAGACGTTGAAAACACTTTACAAGTCTAAATGGAACAATGCGTCTATCCAAAACCCTTCTCCTAAACTTTTGACTGCTTTACTGAAGCTCTTTATTATAGCAAAATATCTAGAAGAAAAATAGCATAAAAGATTTGTATTAGAAATTTTCTCAAATGTAGTCTTATAACTTTCAAAATATTCTTAAACAGAAATGGGCAGCTCCAACTGAGAATTGAAGTTCACTCTGGAGTAGATGTTTCTTTTTCTTTTTATCAGAGTTGGAGTAGAATTGCTCATTCCTGTTCTTAAAGTTTCAACTATAATGGATGATTCGTTTGTCAGATATCAATTAATGAAGAAAACATTAGTTGTTGAATGTTTTCTTGAATGTTCAAAGATAATAAGAAAACTATAAGTCTTATTTTCGAACCAAATTTCAAATATTTTCACAGTAATTTTATGAAATCATAGCTAACGAATTTACTATAAGCTTCTATTATTATTAAACCTCATCATAAAACATATTGATAAAAGTTATCTGAAGTCATTTTTATCTATATGTGTAGACTGCTGCACCACGTGCGGATCATCAGTGGTCAACTATCAGTAAGGAGAATGAACCAACAAAAACTAAACTTGTGAAAAATATTTCAACCGATCGAGAACGACTTGCATCTGAATCTTCGTCAGTTCCATCAGGTCCTGTAACAGAAAAGCCAGCTGCATCAAGTCGTCTTGATAATATAATTCATCAGCCACATGGAGGAAATGTTACACATCGATCATCATCAAGTTATAGTTTAGCTCAAGTTCGTCATCAAGATCGAACACGAAATCTTGAACCTATTTCAATGGAACAACAACAAGTTGTAACAATTGTCCATCAAAGTGATAGTAAAGCAGATGCTATAAAACAAAAAAGGTCAAAATCATCATCATCATCATCATCATCATCAAGTTCATCGAGTTCAAGAAATCAATCTGTTAGAAAACATAATGTAATATCAACAAATAATACAACAAAAACAAATGAAAATTCAAATATACATCGAAGTTTTGAATCATTACAAAATACATATAAAAATAATCAAGGTTTGAAATCAACGAATAGAACATCTTCACTTGAATTCGGTACAAGATCGGCGCCATACGATGATCCAGGTTAATTAATTTTTTTGTTTTTTTTTCTTTGTTCTTATTATATTTTAATATTTATTCATTATATTTGGGATCGATTTATATAGCACCTGTTGAAGGAAGTCCACCAGCTCTTCAATCAAATGGTCTTGTTAAAGGATGGCTTCGAAAACAAAATCGAGATTCAATTTTAAAACGAATTGAACGTTATTATTGTGTTTTAACAGATGAGGCACTCTTAATGCATCGACATGCACATGATAGAATACCACACAAAGCAGTAAATCTTAAAGGTTAAAAAGTTATTGTTTGAATTAGAAAAAAAACAAACACTAAGATTCTTTTTATTTAATGAATATTTAGGTGCAAAAGTGCTTCTTTATGATGATTCTAAACATGGTCCATCACTTGAATTAACTTGGTCAAATCAATCAAATGATGCTAAACACTATCATGTAAATTAGAATTTAGAATGTCTTCATATTTAATTGAGAATATATCCGTTTGTAACCTTGATCCACCCATCTAGGGTCTGTACGAACCCTAGACGAAAATAAGTGCTTCAAAGATATGCCTTGTGGTTGTTCTTGATAGATAATGAGGATGCGATATCAATTCATATTGATAGTACACACTATTACCGTCCAATGCAATCTAAGCTGAAGCAGTAAAATCCAATCATTTTATTCAGGCAGTATCCGAGTGAGACTCAAACAATTAGGGCACTTTATAAGTGGGTAGATCAAGGCTAAACATAATTGTGAAATCCTTTTTCTTACTTATTTGAAACATAAAAAATTTTCTTAACTATTTCTTGAAGAGTATTTGTAGAATTCAAAAATTTTCCACCGCTAAGATCTTGTTTCATTTTGTGTTTTCAAAATTTTCATTGTATTGGACAATATTTGTTTTTTTTTTATGATGGTTGCTGATTTCAGTATGTACCATCATCATTTGACATCTTATGAAATCATAGAAAGTTCACAAATGAATTCTAAATCAAGTCAAAGATAAAGAAGAAATGTTTAGCGATTTCTGAAACACAATGAATTTTTTGTACTAATAATTTCAAATAATCTGAGAATGTCATTTTGACTCAATAGTATTATAACAGGTTAAACAATCTACGTAAAATTTCCAATATTCATTTCATAAGATTAGAAAATATTTTCTTTTATGGTCAATTATTTACTCAGAATGTCCAATACTTCAATCAAATTTTATCACATTTTATTCCTAATCTAAGCGTAGTCTTATAGAAGAAAATCGAATAAACTACGTAGTCATAGAAATTGTTCTTATTTATCACATATCCTATCTTCAATCTACATATAATCTATACATTCTAATTAATAAGCAATAACAATCATATATTTTTTCCGTTTAGTTATATGTGCCTAGTTCACAAGAAGCTGATGAATGGGCAACTGGTATTCAAACAGTAATACAAAATCTAGAGAGAAGTATGATATATCATTTTCTTTGTGTTATATATCGAAAAAAAATTCTATTTAACAGGATATTTTCAATAAAAAATATATTAATGGTAGTATTACTTAGAAAAAAATCTGATTTTCCTCTTGAAAAAAGCTTCCGTTGAATTTAATAAGATAATTGTCTAATTATTTCTATGTTATTTAGATTATCATTGGCGTCCATATCGTCTAAGTACATAATATAATCGAAACACCAATTGCATTGTTTTTTCCTGTAATTTTCGACATTATTTCCCGTCCATCCAACGACTTGATGTTTTCATACTTTTGTGTTTTCTGTTCTGTTTCTTTCTTTTTGCTCATATACGCTAATTTTTTGTTTTGTTTGTTCTATTTGCTACACATACATGATTATTTATACTTCAGCTCTTTCTATATATAGAATAAAAAATGAATGCCTTCTAAAAAAAAGGAATGTTGCTTTTTTTGCGCGTTCGAATTTTAATTTCGCTCTTTGTTTTCTTTCTTCTATTTCGAAAAAATGTTGATTTGTATTTGAATATATTTCAATTATAATGAAGATTGATGTATGTAAAATTCAAATTTTAAATGGATTTATATAAACATCATGCAAATAAAAAACGAAAACTTAGTAAATCAAAAGAACATGAAAAAGATTTAAAAAGAAAAGACAATAAAAATAATGATAAATCAACTAGTTGGTTTGGACAATGTTGTTCTTCGAGAAAACACAATACAACACCGATTAAAAACGATAAAATATTTGAAACATCTATGAAAAAAATTCCATTGGAACATGAAAATATAAATATACAATTAAAACCTAATTTATCAATACAATCTACTTCTAATGAAAAAGTTTCGAACATACAAATGACATATGTAAAACGATCATCCTCATATAATGAATTTACGTTGTGTCAAAAAGCATTTGAATCATACAATGATGTTTGTATTGAATGTACTGTTCAATATGGACCTGATTCATGGGAAGATATTCATGAAAGTTTTCAAAATTCAAACAGACAATTATATGATAATAATAAAGTAAACTAAGTTTATGTGAATAATTTTGAGTCAAGTAGATTTATTTGGACCTACTTTGCTTTTTTTGTCGTCTATCTTGTAAATGTTATGTGTTCCGATATTTCTAATAGTAAACAAAGATCTATATAAGTCTAGTTTTACTCTCGATTTGAGCAGAGATTAGCAGCGTAATAATTCGATATTGTGCATATCTTGAGTAATAACATGTTTTGATGCCTATTTCTAGTCTATATCAATCGAAGAACTTGTCACATTTCTGGACAAGAAAATCAATGATGATGATCTTAATAGGTTCTCTACAAAAGAAAAATTCATCAATAAAACATTAAATCCTGTAAAAATCAATGTAAATTCGTTTATCAATGATATTATCGGTGATGGAGTTGATCGGGTGTCCGATATAATTACAATGATGTCAACTCATCGTAACAAACAAAATGAACTTAGAATAGATAAAAAACTATTGACAAATACAGAAAATAATGTTCAACTAAATGAATCAAATAAAACATTATTTGATTATGAAAACAGAATACAAAATCTTGATAGTATTAAACCACGTCAATATCAATATTCAGGACTTGTGTTTGAAAAACAAAGTATATCATCAATATTTATAACAACATATTTATATACATCTATTTATTATCTTAGACTTAAAAACAATGTCCCCATTGTATTATCATTCATCGATTGAACTCTCTTTAGACAATACATCATCAACAATCACTCCAGATGATAACTGTAATAAAGAAAGAGAAAAATGTTTTAAAATTTGTTTTATTATTTTTTCTCGTTTTATAGACTGGGATTTATCTTCGAACAAGACAAATATTGATCAAGAAAAAGTACTCAATAAAAAAAATTCATCACAAAATCAAGAACCTTATAGTAAATCATAAAATTATATAAAAGAGTGAATAATGAATTATTTTAGATTGGAATGATCAAGAATATCCATGGTCATCATCATTCGATTTATCTCGAAGAGATCATTTGGTTGATAGTCTGTAAAAATGAAAACATTATATTCAATAAATCTATTAATGGTTTTTATTCTTCAGACTTCTTGCATGATCAATCTAAGCAAACAGTAATAAATGATGAAGATAACTTTTTATGGGATAATGATATTGATGATGACTGTTCATACACAATAGCATCAGTTTTACAATCAAATAAAACAAAGAAAGCACAATCATATACGAATGATGTTCAAAATTCAAATCCATCATTCGATATTCTCAATCAACAAGAAACTTTGTCGACATATGAATCTCGTGAAAATGCTGATAGAATAATAGATTTTGAAAATAAGAACGAATATAACTCAGAAAAAATTTATTCTGATGAATTCAAAGATCAAAATCTTACGACCGGAAATCAACAACAAACATCTATTACAAATTTAGTTGCAAACAATAATTTATTATTAATAATAAATTCTACTCATTCTTCAGAAGTCATTCGAGATAAAATTCCTAGAATAAATTCATTAAGATTAATGACAATAAATAACGATGTTTCAATTTCTTCTATTCATAATGATGGATCATTTTCAAAAAAGAATATTTCAAATCTTCATAAACAGCAATCATTGTCTCCAATAGATCAAGAATATGCATTCATACAACAAAATGATCGAGTTAGTGGATCATCTGTTAGTGATCTTTTCAAACAAATTCATACTACAAAGAAACAAAAATCAATCGATTTAGATTCAATTAATACTGCTTACTCCATACCTGTTTCAGTACATTCATCAGTATTATTAGAAACAGTAGAAGATCAATATAATAAACATAATGTTCAATCATTACGAACAACGTTAAGTGAAGATTGTCATTCAATTTCATCCAATACCAAAAAAAAACAACAAAAAAATATTACAATCATAGATACGAAGGATGAAACTCTGTCAACTAGCATAAAATGTTTCCAATTGGATTCGATCGATAAACAAGAAAAACAATTGTTAAATACTGAAATTAATAGTAACATTAATCAATCTCGGTCCACATACGATGATATGTAAATAAGTAGATTCATGATTTTCATTTGAAATTCAATATCATATGACATTTTTATTTCAGAATAAATTCTTGGCGACGTTTACTTGAACGTTTGCTAGGTTTCATATTACCTTATATACGTATTACTGATAATAATATGAATTTATCTTCATCTATTTTATCATCTGATACTCATTCATGGTCAACATTGATACCAAGAGAAACAATTAATATGACTCAATCTGATAATATTGGTCCATGGTGGGGTCGTCGTGATACTTACGATCAAACTCCTGCTACATTTATATTCGCTAATGAACCACTAAATACATCGTATTCAATAGAAACAATTGTTAGCAACAAACAAATGTGCATGTCTATTGAGAATAGACAGTGCTACTCTAAATATTATAGTTATCCGAATATATGTCACTGCTGTTGCAGTTCATCGATAACTATAAACAATAGTTCATCATCTTCGTAATGTACATTATAAAGAATTCTTTTTCATATTTAACAAACTCTACTCATTATATATAATAAATCGACTATTTATTTCGGTAGTATGTTTGTAACTACGTAGTTAATGAAGTATAAGAAATGAAGATATAGGAAGAGAATAGAATGAAATAAACAAACTGACCAATGCTAAAACTTCATATAAATTCAATCAATATTGACTGTTCTATTCTTGATTAAGTACATGACGATAAGTAAATTCATACTTTTGGTTGTTCCAAAGTTATTATTGGCACAAAAAATAACATATCATTACGTAAAAACCATAAGTGCATGATTTATTTTTCATACTCTAGGTCGTATTATTAAGAACATAGGTAATATTATATTCACAGCATCATAGACAATTATTATACGCAGCAGTAGCTGTTCAAAGTGTTCTTAGCTCGGCGACGATCGCTGATCCTATATTAATAACATATACAGTGCTTTTCATTTGAAGTATATGCAGACATTTCCGATGTTTTTTTTTCTATGTGTAAATAGATGCTAAGATGAATATGAGAGTCAGCATTTTGGTTCGATTTATTGTCTTCTTGAGTGATTATGATATCCTTCCTGATTGAAAACTAAACAGAGAATACATAAGACTTATATTCTCATACATTGGTTAGCACATTATGACGTAATCAATTTATTTTTATGCGCTAAAGCACGTTTGTTCTTTATTTCGTTCGTCTCTACTCTACACTTTGTGCGTATGATTCGAGAAGATAATGAAGAAAATTGTATGTATGCAGGTGTCCAGACACGTTTATCAATTTTCATTTTGATACTCAGTATCAATAATTATTCTACTAGTGCTATTTGTAAATTACACTTCTATGATAATAGCCTTGCGAGCGACATAATGAACTACAATACGTTGATGTTAGATGAAGGGATAAAGAGATAGAAGACAATTCTTCGTTTTTTTCTCTCTTTCTCTCTTGCTCCGATTTGTTATACAATGTGCCGCCGTACCGATCGACATTTTCTTTTTCTTTGTTTTCTCGTAAACAGATAGATAATCTTCTCGACACACTCTCTCTCTCTCTCTTTTATTGAGTACTTATGTATGACACAACATTTATTGAATGTCTGATTGTTTGACTAAAGTCTTCAGCAATAAACAATTGGAAATTGTTCTTTAATGGATGCTGATTTAGCAGAAAAACTTAATCGAAGAATTCGTCGTATTGAATCAGTTGAATCATCTTCAGAAACATCATCAATTAATGGAAATGGAATAGTCGATGATATTGATCTATCATTTTCATTAACAAATTATGAATATCAGCGATCTTATGTATTCAATCCATATACTGAATATAATGAATTTTCACGAAAACAAATACAAAATTTAATGCAAACATTTGATAAGTAGGTAGAATGAAAATGAACAAGTTTTAGTTTTGTTGTTATTTGTTTTGTTTTTGGAAGATATGATACCGATAGAGATAGATCACTTAACTTTAGTGAATTAAAATTTATGATGGAAAAACTTGGTATTCCACAAACTCATTTAAGTTTAAAAGAAATGATTAGACAAGTTGATGAAGATCATGATGGTAAAATATCATTTCGAGAAGTAAGAAAAATGATTATATTTATTATATAATTTATTTTATTTTATTTTATTTTATTATAATAGTTTTTACTTATTTTTCGCAAAGCAATCTCTGAAACTAACGAAGCAGAATATGAAAAATCATCTATTTTGTATCAACTTTATGCAATGCTTTTTGAAATTGATGTTTCAAAAGAAGGTGTCGATGGTGCAAAGCATTTTTTTGAAGCTAAAGTAAAGATTTCTTTTTAAATATTGTTTCTGTTTTTTGTTTGAAGATTTGTTTTTAGATAGCTGCAATTAAAGATGGTGACAAATTTCAACGAGAAATTCGTGAAGAACAAGAACAACGACGTCAGATAGAAGAAGATAAAATTCGTCGTAAATTAGCATTTCAAAATCGTCTTGCACAATTTCAAACAACATAATGATAAACATAAATATAATCTATTCTGTGATAAGTTTTATAATTTACTCTTGCATGTAATGTTCTTATTTTAGACAGTGTGTGAAATTTTATTATTTAATTAGAATGCAATTCTGTTGTTTTTTTTTTGTTTTCTTCCAATGTAATGAACTCATTTTTTTCTCTTTGTTGAATAAAAAAACAACCAAAGTTTTATCTTCAAAGATTCAGCAAACATATAAACAATTACAAATTCTTTTTAATCATAAAGGTAATTATATCAGGTAAATAAGTATAGTGTTTATGTTTTTTATGTCGGAATGATTCATAAATCTTCACGATTATTGAGAAAATATGAAATCATAACTGGAAGTATATTAGTATATGATGGAAAACATGCAAGCTTTTATGAAAACAATAATAGATGTATGAGTTTTGATCTTCAGATTTCATGTAGAAAGTTATATTATTGGCTTCATTAAAGAAATTTTACTTATTTTCAAGTAAGAAAAATACATATAAAGCGTTTTATAGATAATTTTCAGTCGTCATTCCAGAGAATAATAATAAGAAGTCAAAACTACCTATATTGATTCACAAAGAGCAAGTTTTCAAAACTAGTTAATTAATTTAAAAGTCAATGCTTACAAAATTTGGAACTTTCATACATGAAACATTGTTTTTTGTAAGAAAATCAGTGCTCAAAGAGCTACAATGCGGCACGAATTTCAATATTGAAACTGACTAAATATCCAACCTTGCTCTATGTGCATCAATATAGTATCACGTTTAAAATTCATATTAATTTTCTATTGTTATTCTCTTAGATGACCGCTAAAAATTATCTATGAAACGCTCCATATGTATTTTTCTTATTTGATAATACGGGATGTTTATTTAGCAAAGCAAAAAATATAACTTGACAGAAGTATTTGTTTAGATATCTGTATGAAAACGAAAATTTAAAATAAGTTTCTACGACTAATGAAAAAAAACCGTCCCATTCGAACGAATCGCAGCGAAAATATTTCCATTTTTTATTCAAGTGTTAAAATATGATCAACCCTGAAGTTATATTTCTGATAAAAAATCAGATGAAACAGATGAGAATAGATCATTATCATCTATACTCTTATACTTTTGAAAATGGCGACTGTTACTATAAAAACAACGAAAGTAATTTCTACCGAAAACAAAACAATCCAAAATAAAGAATTATCATACAGAATAACCAACGTTCTTTTCTCTTAATCTTTGTGTATAATAGAAAACATCTTAACACTTATTTGACAAAATATCACGAAGTATTAAGCCTAGTGTAATGAGACAAACAGCGATTGAAGCTTACAATATTCGATTAACACAAAAGATGCTGAGGAATTTTGAATTTGATTCTCAACCGATAAAACACGAAACATCAGAGTAAGAAGAAAAAAAAAAGAATTATCCTCATGAAAATTATATCAGTATTACAGACGTATGAACTTTTAATTATCCGCTGATCGTATCATCATCAAATACACTATAAAAATAATGATAACAAAGAAAGAACAACGGAACATTACAATGGGGCTCATCAAATAAGAGTGTGAGCCATTGTAATGTTTGCTGTAGACATTATAATTTTTTCGAATAATAATGATGGCAATAGACTCACAAACTGAGATATTTTTCGACAAAATAGATATACTACAAGTATGACTTTCACAGTTGTAGTTCACTTTTATCTTACTGTTTATATTCTACTACAAAACATTGACAAATATGAAAAAATACCTTCTCATTTTATAATCCACTCGACAAAAAGAAAACAATTCATGAAAATATATTGACAGATATTCTTATGGTGAGCATAAAAAATATTATCAATTTTTTTTTTACTAGTTTGAATGATTAAAAAAAGCTTCGAACAGGAAGAAAATCTTTACATACATAAATTTACTATTATCACATATCAGTCAATTCCTTTTGAAACTGCTAATAAATTGAGTTAACAGTTTGTTTAATAAACTTTGAACGAGTTCAAAGTTTGTGGATGATATGAAAGCCTCCACAATTTATCATTACCATATTTTTCTTATAATAAGTCATAAAATATGCTCTACATAATATTATCAAGAGAAAACAACAATTCGCATGATCAATCAATAAACAAGTACTTCTGATAAAAATTATACGATGAATCTTTTAATATTAATGTCAAAGCAATTTGTTAAACTATTTGTATTGTTATATATGAAAAGCTCATTCGAATGATGAATGAGCATAGCTAACAATGTTCATCTATGTTTAATCATTTCTCAATATAATATCAAGAATCTTACGATGAAATGAAAAAACAACAACAAGCTATCGTTCTGATGTGTTTAATATACTATCGACATTTTCTTTTCAAAATTACAAAGTGCATTCATTTTTAGAAATGTTAAGTAAACATCTGTATGACTGATTGCACAATCACTGTATACATAACAAAATCAAAATAACGCCATTTTCTTCTCAAATAAACTGTACATCAAAAATGAATTAATCTTTAAAAAAAAAGGAACTCTCTTCTCCTATATCTTTGTGAATAGCTTTGAGTAAAATCTTCAATTTTATATCGATTGAGTTTTTATTACAGTGAGAAGTATGTGGATAAGAATTGTTTTCTCTCCAATATGTTATGATTTATTAATAAATAAAATTGAATATTTGATCACAACTTTGTAATAATACCATAAAATAACGTATAATGTAGGGAAAAATGAAGTTTTATTTTCTTATGAGTTTGTCTACTAAAGAAATGTATTTATAAAATGTGAATATATGGAAGATCATTTTCTTCATAGAATTATTACAATTTTATCAAATTGAAAAATTATTTAAATTTAATATAACAGTGTAGCTATTCGAACATTGCATGTAGTCGTTAAATTAGAAGACATCACTTGTTTTGAACATAAGTAATAAGAATTAATTTAACTACAAATATTTCTTCATTCCAAAAGCCAAGAAAAATATCAAAACGCACTTCTTTTTTTTTTCTATGAACTACTTTTAGCAACATAATTAAATATGATCAATATTATATTCAATATAAACTTTGCGATCAGAATTGTGGAGTTGATACACTAATTCAACATGATACAACATGTGAATATTCAATTATAAAAATTCATATGAAAACAAATCGTAATAATATTTCATCGGGCGATGCCGATGAAATTCAACTTCGAGTTGAATGGGACAGTTTTGGTAATAATTGTGGTAGTAGATGTTCAGAATACGAGGAAAACAAATACTGATATGATGGTAATCATTATAATAATAATGATAATACAAACAATTGTCGAGGAGTAATGCATTAATTTGAGAATAGTTTTAGAGATTTACTAAAAAATCTAATTGTTGACGTCGATGGTTAGGCTTGTGACAGTATATCAGAAATACTGATGACACGATTTGTTGCCAGAAATTTCACACATATATTTCGTTTTTGTTTAATCAATAAATTTCATCTAATTTCATGTAAAATTAATTGGAAAAACAATTGAACTCAAGAAGAAAGTTGTCATTTATTTAAACAAAGATCTACTTTTTTAAAGTGTTTAAAAAAATCTTTTTCATACTTCTATTATTAAAATAATTCGCACTTGCAATGTTTACAAAGACACAATGCTAAATTAAATGTTTTTTTTTGGTAGATTTATCGCTAATCAAATTCTATGATAGATAGAAGCTAGATGAAAGAAAATCGTTTAGTCTTAGAATTTCTTAATTAACTTATGACAATATTCAATAAATCGTTTGAATTTTTGTCAACCTGACGAAAAAGAAATTATCCATAAGAGTCATTTATTTCGATTTAGGCTTTTATGAACAAGGCAAAGATGAATCTTTCTGTAAGTAAATAGCGACCTTCTTTTTTCGCTTTTTCATACTTTGTTGTTATAGAAAGGATGACAAACATTTTGTTTTAATGCATGAGTCAATACTGTAACAGTAAACCTACGTCTCAGGGTCAATGATGATATCACATTAAATTCCAAAGAGTATCTTAAATGTATATCAAACAGTTGACACTTCGTATTAGATATAACGACAAGTATTTAAATTAATAAAATCTATTCTATAGTTCATTTATAAAATTGTTTATTGTAATAAAATTATCCTTTTTTTAAATCAAATACATCTACACATCACAAAACATTTATTTGTTTATCAATCTCTCTTTTTATCCAGCTGTATATTTCAATATGAAAACAAAGAATAGACATGCATAAAGCAACAGTGAAGAGAGTCAATAAAGCAAAATTTCGTGCATGTGCATAAAAATTTATCTCAGAAAAAGAAAAAGAAAAAGAAAGAATCAGATCATGACAAAAAAAAAACATAAAAAAAAGCTCCCAAAATATATTCGTGCGTTATAAAACACTACAAAGAAAAAACAACAAAAAAAAAACAACAATCCTTTTATTTATTAGTTAAAAATAGCATTTTGCTGACCTGCAGCAATATTTCTCAATCACACAAAAGCATAAAATAAAAATAATGGCATAAAATCCTTTCGTTGTGAATATAAGTGAAAATACAGGAAGAAATAAAATACTTATCTGATCTCATTTCATATAAATGAGATATATGATTTTTTTAAGATGGTAGCTACACAAAATAAGATAGAAATATACAATGGAAGACATTATTTTATGTATACAAGCAAATAAATAATATATTTCTATTACTACTTAAATCTTTCTAAATATGAATAATGAAATATGAAAATTATTATTAAAATGTTCTTCGTTTCTGTTCATCCAAATCTTTCATGTCCTCAATAAGACTGCTGCTGAGCTCATTTAATAAGAAATCCATTGTCTAGAAAAATTATGTTCGATTATTAAAATCGAACTAAATTTCCAATAAAAAAAAAACATATCGTTATTTACTTACAACATTCATAAATGAATTGACATGAAATTTTCTTGATGCATAATTATCTAATGTTCTTGAACGATTTTCATCTATCTGTTGATATTGATTAATTAAATTATGAAGAATAGTTACTAAATAAAAAAAATGAACAAGAAAATATAAGATTTCTTTTGTAATAAAATAAATAATTCTTTACCATCTAATAAACGTGAACGATCATCAACATCAACAATTGAACCATTTTGTTTGAGATATTTTATTATTAATTGATCTAAACATATTGTATCTAATAATTTATTTTGTGCATGATTTTCAATTGCATTATATTGAACTTGATCAAATGGTTGTCTGCTTGTATGATAAATATCATAAGTAGGATCATTCATGGTTGGAACTTGACGAGGCTATATTAGATAAGAGTTTTAAAAAAAAGACAAGAAAAAATTATATTTCAATAAAACTTACTCGATCAGATAAAGTTTGACTACTTAATTCTCTTAACATATTTTCGACTTCGAAATCGATTAATTCTTGATTAATAGTTGCTAATAAACGTCCTTGTACATCGGATGGTAAATCATGATATCGTAGTCGATTAGTTGTTCGTAGAGATGGAACCTCTTGAAGATCTAATGGTCTCAATAAAGATAAATTTGAATCGATATTAGATGTAGGAATATGTGGACGTTGATAATCAAGTTCGCGTATCCAATCGTCCGATATTAAACTTAAAGACGCATTTTGTTTTTTGTAATAATAAGAAAAAAATTCAAGAAACATACTGATTATTCGTTTGTTCTTGATTCATGCGTCTATTTAGATCTGAATAATACTGTTCAACTGTAGATCTATACGATATGTCATTTTGTTTTTGCTGTAAATAAACAATATAAATTTTTTATTATGTTTTCTTTTCGTATTTATTATATTTACTTCTTGATCAAGTTCACTAAAGACTTCAAGTAAAATATCTGGTATAAACTCATCTTTAATACATCTGTTAATAAAATCATCTGTATAATGATTAGCCAATGCTTCATTTCGTGGTAAAGATGCATAATCATACAGCTCCTAAACATAATATTTTTTTTTTCAAATTTTACAACAAACAGAAGAGAATAAGATATTATTCAAACAGTATCGTATATCGTTATATCGATTAGTGAGAGGCAAAAAAAATGAAATTGTTAATGAGAACACTCACACGGTGAGATAGTTGTGAAGGAAAATAATGCAATCGTTCAGGGTATGCATAGTGTGAAACTGGATCATAGACTGGTGCTATTCGACGTAATGGCAATGTGAAACTACCACCACGCCTATTACTCACAGGTGGAGATAAAAGATTACTTAGATGAGGTACCACAATATATGACTAATAATATTTGAAGTTTTTATTTATTGAAAACAATTTTTCTTTTTATTGAATACCTTCTTTTGTCTTTGAAGTCCACTACCTAAACCATAATGAGATAAAGGAGATGGATATCGTCGAATTAAATTAGCATTTGAAGTTAAACGATAATCATTTGAATTAAGTCCCCAAGTGTCAAGACCAACTGGAGGAGAACTATGATATGAACGGGAAAATGTGATTATTAAAATTGGATTTTTCTACACATGTAATTGAAACTACGAACGAAAACCGCCGATAGATCGTTCAATGTAATGTGTGCTATACAGGCGATATTCACCAGTAGTGACAAAAAGATCGTCCGGTATACTGACAATCAATCAGCAGTAGTTTGATACTTAAACAATCGACTGTCTTCTAACTGCCATTCTACCGTAGTATGCCAGCGATAGTACGAACAAATGTGTAATATAGATACTTACTATAAATCATCAAATGCCGGCAATGGACTGTTAAGTCGACGTAAATTGTAATTATTTCGATAAGGCTCAATACCAGGTGGTGTTATTAACCTAGAATACATTGTCTAGAAATACTCGGATTGTCTTGTGTTGATTTAAATAGTCATTATTTGACTGTGTAAGAATGCAGTATGTGTCGATATTTTATACGTGACAGAATCACTGATAAAAAGTATATTTCACTTCAAAGATTGGTCAATACGTGATCGCATTACTTGAAGATATTATACAAATAAATGCTTATAAGTTTGATCAAGCAATACGTATGTACTCGAGAATTAAACTTCAACTTTGTCCTTTCCTTGTCTTTGTTGACATGGCAGGAAATGTTGCAAGAAATTTATATTAATTTTTAAGTACGCAGTATCAACAACAAATAGTTTTTCTAAATAGAAAAACTTCGAACAGTTTGTATTCTTGTTTTATGAATAGATAATCTGGCTAAAATTTTATTTTTTAGAAATCTGTTAGTTTCAGAAAGCTTGAGATTTTACAATATTCAATGATGTTCATTTATTTCTACTTAGAATATTTTTCTTATTCATATACAAACAAGACACACAATGAAAATAAAATAAAACAGCGGGAATACTAGAACGATTAGAAAGACAACATTTATTATAAGTGTTTGGAGACCCCCTATTGTCTTTTTTTTTTATAGAAGAGAACACATGATTTATTTGTTCATTCGCTGTATGAATGCAGGACAGGGTAATCCTATCCTGTGGGATCATTTGTGATGGTTACTTAGATGATAATTTCCAGTGATAATCATTTCATCAAACTGGAAATTATCTACAGAACAATATAACTTTGCTTGTCTATTCTGTCACGTTATATTGATATAATCTTCTTGTTTTTCTTTCAAAACTTGGAAGAAAATCACGCGAATACATACTATAAATAAAATTCTATTTTAATCATTTTCTACTTTTTCTTAAAACATACCTCAAAGAGAGAATTATTTGTTTTAGTATTAGGCGCGCTACAGCATAATATTATATAATTGTGTTTTTCATGGTGTGATTACTTGAATATCAAATAATGTACAATTAATACATACTTTCGTAATCTTGGTGGTGTGAGAATAGGACTATAAAATGGTCTCGATGGAAATAATTCAAGATCAGTTGGCTGATACCAATTAAGAGCATTTTCCTTGAACTGATGAATATATGTTGGTTGTTGTTGTTGTTGAAGTGTTTTTTTCTTTAATATTGATGTTGGCTTATACATTGAATTTTGTGATGAATTATTTCCAAATCTAAAGTTTTATTATTTTTTATATTGATTTATTTTTTTGGCTTCCATTATTTGTGTATGTTAATGAAAGAAAATAATACCGTATTTTAATGCTATTAGGATCGTTGTTATTTGTAGCAGGATTTCGTTGTGAGATAGGTTTTTTTGCTCGAGATTTTTGAGTTGTGGGATGTCCGATTGAACGCAGAGGATTTTGATATGTAGCTGCCATTAAGTATAATAAATATTGGTTTTCGAAACTCAATTATGATCGATTATATACTCGTAATAGCAAACATGCCAATTATTTAGATGTCATGGTAACCAAAGTATTTAACTGTTTGATTATAAAAAATAACTTGTGAATATGATACCGATTTTTTGAATTGATTTATTATATATTTGAATAGATAGTTTTAAAAATTATTTAAGAAAGTTTTTTTTTTCTATTTTAGATGATATTTATTTGATTAGTTAAATGTGTTAACCAATAAAAATGAATATTTGAATGAATCACACTTCATAAAAAACGTTGTTTATTATTAAATGTTCTGTTATCTTTTGTTTGCCTTATATTATTATTAAGCGTTGACTATTTTTAGGTAAGTGTCTATGTTTATAAAAGAAATCAAAAGAATTATATTTTCTTTTTAAATTGTTTTAGATAAATTGGTAAGTCTGAAAAAAGCGAAAAAAAAAGTTTTTTTTTTGTTTTTTAAAGTAAATTTACGCGTGCATATATACATACACATTGATTTATTTCCATTCGTCTAACTGATTTTATTTGCGCAATTGGTCTTAAAGAATGCATTTGAGTTTCTTTTTTCTACTCTTCACATCATCTAATGTATATGTCTTTATGTTGTATGATTTTAGTTTTAGCCTTCGCTCTTTTTCTCTCCATGTTGCTTCAAATGCATTTTATACCTGTAAGTGAAAGAGAAAAGAGGGGCGGTAGTAGTGGCAATAGAAAAAAACCTCATTTGTAATGTCGTCGTTCGTCGAATACTTGTCACCTGTCGTCGGTGATGTCGTTTTTTTCTTCGTTTCTCTCTATATTCTATGAGTAATAACAAGTGTTTCATTGCATTACTTATTTCATTTCGTTTTACAAAAGTGAGCAGAGTAAAAAGAAAATAGATTTGAATATACAAAAAACATCGAATCATGAACGATATTTATTGGCACGACAAACGAACTATGTCTTCAAAACAACTTTCATCACCACCACCAACACAACCTAGACGTTCATATGAAAATACACTTCGAACACAACATCAACAAATGGATTTTCGATATAATTCACAGTCAACAACAGCAAGAGGTCGAACAGATCCTTTATCGTATCTTCAATATCCAACAGTATCTAGTCGATCACATAATAATAATAATGGAAATTTTCCATATACTTCAAGTGTGCATGAAGTGTATCGTCAATCCCCATCCTCTGTTACGACTTCTTCTTCTCCATTACATGCACATCAAAACAGACATATCGATATAAGAAATCAGCCTCATTATTCTCAACAACGACAAGTATCTCGTAGTGTTAGTGATGATTATCTTACAACAAAATATCATGACATAAATCGTCTTAATGATGATATTTATGGTGATGAAGATGAAACTGGACATGATGATGAAGATAATAGTTGCGAAGTTTTCAATTACACTTTCGAAGATACAAGTGTAAGTTTAAGTGAGAGCGAAATTCTAGAAATATTTGACAGACCAATACAAATAGCTACTTTTCACTATTTATTTCCTGTCGTTTAGTTTGCGCAATAACACAGTTGTGCATGTAATAAATAAGTTCGATAAAGTTTTTTTTTTCTTCAACTTTTTTTTATACAATATATGTTAATCGAATTGAGAATTTATGTAATTTGATCTTTTTATACAAAACAAATCATTCTCTTTTTTCTTATCAAATTATTCTAATCCATTTACATATATGTATATATATATATTTATGTATTTTACTTTCATCAAACACATTTTCAACGGAATAGAATGTACTAAAGAACATATCTTTTTATTTTCTATGAGTTAGATAGACAGACATTAAAGAAAAAACAACTGTTATTCCTTAATGGTTATTTTTTTCTCTATTGTACATAATATATTTTTGTTGTGTAGATCCTTGTATGATACTTGACAACCGGCATTTTTATAGACCACATTACTAATGCAAGTAATCGTTTGTCGTTTTAGGAGTATATAACAAAAAAAATAGTAAAGTATATAGTGAGATTACAACATCGTCTCTCTTGTTTTCGTTTTTGTTCGTATTCTTTTCTATAACTGATTGTTTTGGGATTTAGGAATCATTTCTTATTCTTTATCTCCTATGGGTCTTTTTCTCCGCATCAAATCGATAAGCTCTTGCCTATACATAACTTATTCATCTCAATGTAGTTATGGGTTTCTTTTTTTTCTTTCCATTCTCACTCTCGTTTTCGGATAGAATGCTAAATATAATCATGATCATTATTGAAAAGACTCATGTTTTGTGCACAATGAATATATATAGAGATGAATGAACAATAGATTTTTAAAAAATTAGGGTCAAAATGTCGTTTTGTTTTTGTATTGACGTACATAGATACGAAAAGAAGAGCGAAGAGTATGGGTGTGTGTAGGTTTGATGACCTTCATTTGTGATTACGCGTACTCACGTCCGTTCGTTTTCACTCACTCGGCCAGACACTAAATGTAGAAAAAAATAACGAGAACAAAATTTTATACTCAATTGAAACAAAGAAAAAAAAGAAGAAGGAGAGAATGTGAAAAGAAACCAAGCGAAAATTATCATTTACGTTAGAGACAAACCGAGGAAAAAAAACGAGAAAGTGATTCAATATTTCTTCGCAATACTATATGTAAACGAGGACAAAGAAATGGGTTTAACTTTTTCTCGACGATGGTGGCGAGTCGACGAAACATCTGAAATACATCCATCTTCTATGAACAATATTGATGAGAAGAAGACAAGCGAAAATGAGAAAGAGAAGATGAATGATGAGGTATGTTTTTAATTGATTTATGAATGTACTCCAATAGTGAAGAGAGAAGTCTATTGGCATTTGGTATTTTTTTTTAATACATCATGCATACGTATGCATATGATTGGATTCATAAGTGGCCTTCTCAACCTTGGTAGACATGGTTCACTTCAGTGATTCATTCATTCATTCTTTTTTTTTCTCTTCTTTTTCTTTTATGAGAGTACTTGCTCTTTCGTACTTACTGATAAGAACGATGAAAAAAAATTGAACATTAAATAAATATATTCAATTTCTTTTTTTATATTTATTTGAAAGGATGTGATATCACCTGTGAGTTCACCTATGGCAACATATCGTAATGTTGGACATCTAAATTCGCCGAATACAAATAATAATAATAATAACTTATCATCAAATGTAAATCGTGATTCAACCGATTATTCTTCAACAAAATATAATCAACAACAAAATTATAAATCTTTGACAATGCCAAAAAGTAATTATCAAAATATAACAACAACAAAAGATTATATTCCAGCAGATAATGATACAAATTATTTAACAGCATCATCATCATTAGATACTGAAACAAATTCAAATATAAGTGAATCAACAAAACGTATGAATAATCCTAATGGAAAATTTTCCATACATAAAATTATTCGACAAGGTATTTCATCATTGCGTACACGTAAAAAACCACCATCAATGTCAACGCCGCCTCCACAACTAATTCCATCAACAAATACAGTCTATGTAAATGCTCCAACACCTCCACCATCTCAACCTTCTTCATCAGTTGGGCATTATGTGACAAGTAATGATGATGTTTCACAAGTTCCTCCACCAACAACTGTACGTTCAATATCAGTTGATTCAATATCAAATAACACACCACCACAAAAAATTATTGTTACAGAACCAGTTACTATTTCAACTGCACGAGCAAATAGTATTGATAGTGTAACAATGGATTTCGATCGACCAGCAACAACTACTCGAACTTACGTTCAACCATCATGGACTAATTCTTCAACATCTACAGCAACAACTATTACAACAATTACTACTCCTACTAATACTGAATCAGTAACTCGACTAACACCAGTACCTGCTAGTCGAGTATTACCTATACAATTTACTGAAAATAGTAAAATTTCTACACCAAAATCTCCTCCACCATTACCACCATCATCATCTGTAGTATCATCACCTCCTTCATCCAGTATATCATCAATAACAACAACAACAACAACAGCAACAACAAAAACAATGGAAATAAATAATACTACAAATTCTTTAACAAAAGTTCCATCAAATCCACCTAAAATTCCACCTCCTGGTATAATACATTTTTTTTTTAAATTTTCTAATAAAATTGTTTTTTTCTTTTTCTTAGTTGCTCCGAAACCTGATGCTAGTCGTTTAACACCTATTCGTACAAATTATTTAAATAATAATAATAATAATAATAATAATAATTTTTCTTCTTCTACTATCAATCCAACACCACCACCACCACCACAACCATTACTGCCACTACCTCCACCACCAACAACAGCTAGTGTAACATTTACTACAATTCCTTCTTCGTCGTCTTCTTCTTCAGCTCCGACAAGCACAATTGAACAACGTCGTTTAATTTTATCTGATAAACTGACAACAAATCAATTTAAGCCTATTCATGATAATAATACAGCTATTTATGCTAATGTTACTCCTACTCCAACAACACGTCCAATGGTTGCCAATAATATTACAGCATTACAAGAAAAATTTCAAATACGTTCCTCACCTGTAACTACAGCAAATTCATCTCCATCACCAATACCAATAACTTCAACTACTTCAAATACTACTTCTACAACTGTAACGAATTCATCGTCACCATCAACAAATTCTTCATCAACACCACCAACAACAGTTATTCAAACAAATAAACAAATTACTATTCAAGATATTGATACAACTAAATATGAAGAAATTCCTGCTAAAGAACCAGATTTCACACGACAACCAGAAAAAAGTGCATTAAAAAAATCAAGTGGTGTTAAACGTCGTGTTATACCAGTTTTTCGAGAAAATCAACGTCCATCACCACGTCCTAGTCCTAAAATTAAACAAACTGTTCTTATAACTGGACCACCACCACCACCACCAATAGCAGCAGCAACAGCAACAACAGTCAATGATGAACATAATTCTGATTATGAACATAATGAAA